GATTTTGATCAATTCAATTTGTCGTTAGGGACATATAGTTTGTTTTAATACACATTCTAATTGCACAATTTACTGACAGGACACGATGTTCCCAACTAAGTGTATACTATGATAGTAAATTCTACTGTAAACTTATAAATATAAATAATAACTTAAAATTAAGTTTAAATCTCATAAACAGTAACATTTAATTTAATGTACAGATTATTTACTAGTAATATATTTTAAAAATTTAATATAGCTAAATAATACTAAAATTATTCTGGCTAACCAATAATAAATTATTTATAATTGCTTTTTATTACGTGAAGCAGAAGTATTCAATATAAATATATTTTTAATAATAAAATTTGAAAGATATTTATCACGTATGATATTAGTCATAAATCACACGTAGGTCATACACAATTTATTTACCCAGAATCATTAAACATCTACTAAAATTAATTTACTAATCAGTTAAACATAAACATAATTTAATTTTAAACATAATTTTAACCTTTATACAATTAGCGTTCGCAGAATCTCAAGGTTAGGTAGGAGTCTCAAGGAATCGGAATATTATAGAATTTATTTATAATTTTGTTCAATTTTAACAGAAAATACTATAAGTTAATACAAATATTCCTTGATTAATCGTCAAAACCAATTAAATTTATTTGACAACTAAAATAATATGTCCCAGTTACTAGATTTCGTTTTTACATACATATAAGTAATTTACTTACTTGTTTATTTAAATATTTAAATTTAAATACTTATTACATAGACCAACAAAACTATCTCAAGAAATAGATTGTTATTACTAAAGTTAATAATAATTAAATATTTTTTGTTTTATAAATTTAAAGGTTTTTAACTTTAAAATCATTTTCAATCAATACCTTTCTCCTTTAATAGGGAGAATTTCTTTGATTGTGTTGCAAATCGTATTGCTTTTGTGGAAATTTTGATTTTATAAAAATTGCTCTTGTAGATGTTGCTTTTAGAGAGCATAGACTGTATAATTAGACTCTATAATAGACAATATTATTAAAATTAATTGTAATAATTACTAGGATTTAGTGATTTGTTATAATGTGCAAATGTTAATCATTAAATAAATTCCCAAAAAATATGTGCAATAACTCTAATTATTTTTATACGCTTTTCCGTAGGAATAAAAAGCGTATACTAGAATCACTTTGTACCCCTCCCCCCTCCCCCGCTCCATCATTAACTGGAAAAGCGTATGTATCGATTAACTTCAGTTATCCGCCTTGTTTATATTATACAAACTCGCTTATGTCGAACAAGTATTAATATTTGTATTAGTATAGAGTTGTGTGAATTTCTGTTTAACTCATATTAGGAGAATCATTAAATAAAATTATGGTAATTCATTATAATAAAATTAAACACTATGCTATTATTTATAAATTACAAATAAATATCATAATAATCGATGTTTAATTCAGAGTTTTGTTAAAAAAGATCTGTTAAGGTAATTTAATATTGTAATTTATGATTTAATATTTTTTTTAATTATCTATAAATGTCATTAACTAAACATATAACACAATCACATTCAGTATAACATTAAAAATAATTCTAATTGTTTTTTATAAAATTACTATGAAATAAATTATTACTACATTATTACTAATAAAGTAAATATATTTTCAACTTAATTTATACTTATAAGGCAAACTATAAATTAATATTAATTGTTATATTATTACAATGTAACTATATAAATATTTCATTTCAAAATTTATTAAATTTAATAAAGCTATTAAAAATTAATAGAAAACTTATAATCAAGTAGATAAAATATGCATATTTCTAAATCAATTTCTGTATTGTTGCTAATGTTGGCACTAGCTAATAAGTCCGACCATGCTGACCTACCCGATGAGCTAGTACCATCAGCCGAAAATTATTCCAAGTTTGCCGATGTGTTTAAATGTTTTGCCGATGCCAACTTTACCTGGCTAAAAGAGTGGTCAATTACTAAGGGTGTCTTTGGTGCATTGTTTGATCAGTTAGCCGGCGAGCCCGATAACTTTAATTACGCCGTGCGAACTGACCTAGTTGATTTTTATTTCTACTCTATAACCACGTAAGCTTTTACACGGAAAACAATTTGCGAACTGTAAATGATCATACACCGTGGGAATCAAGGTACAATGTTCATGCTAATTACATACGTTCGCTAGTGGCAGATACAGCAGTCTGGATCCTGAACAATATACCCTTGGTACCCAAGTCGGACAAAGTTCATCACGTACCAGGACTAAAATCGTCCGTGATCTCTATCACTACTAATATGTTTAAGTCCTATAAATATCTTGATGATAAGTCCGAGCCGAAATTTCTACATTGCGTATCATTTGCCTGGAGAGACTTTGTCTATCAGATCGATAAGGTTATAGGCGCTCAGATAAGTGCCCGGGTAACGCCTGGTGGTTCTACGTATGACAAGTATATTTTAAGCAAGTCTTAATTAGCATTTAATAATATAATAATTTTAATTCAATTTTATTAAACAGTATTTGATAATATTTAAAGATTCAAAAATATGCTATTAATTAAGTATAGATTCTTTACATTAACATAACATTAGGAACATATGCAATTATTTAAAATAGCATGATTATATTTTATTACTAAAACTTAAGCATTAATGCATTCATTTAATTATTTAATTGAAGTTGCAAAATAAAAAAACTTATGTAGTTACACTTTTATTTCAAAATGATCATTAAACTAACTAGCTAAATATTCAAATACTTTAATCCATTCGCATTATTGTTACAGTAAGTTGTATTTATAAATTTTATAAACATTATGATTATTTTTATTAATAAAATTAATTTATTAGAAAATGTTGAGGTCAATATAAATTTGGATTTTTAAAGTTTTAATCCAATATTTCGTCCTTGACAAGATTTCTATAGTATTTTCGGTCGACTTTCCCGATACTAGTCCTTTGGATATTATCTACGAATACGACACCACCGGTCAGTCGCTTAGTATACGCCAGAGTGTCTGTCCATTAGAGATACAGTATTTACAATCAATAAATATAACATGCCAGATTAAAACTTTTAAATTACCGGACACAAATTTCTGCAACTCTTCGGCACTCACTGTATTCCCCTCTTTGACTATAACATAAGCCCGGGGTCTATGAGTGCCGGCCCTGTTGTTGACCCCAACCACTGTAACCTCAGCGACGGCCGGGTGGGTCAGTACGTACTGCTCGATCTCCACGGGACTGATGTTTATGTAGTGATTGTCGACACCTATTCGCACGACTTCTTTGAGGCGATCCGTTATAAACAGCCGTTCCTTCTCGTCGTAGTGACCGATATCGCCCGTCCGATACCAGCCCTCCCCGTCCACCGCCGCCTCCCAGGCCTTCG